TCATTTACTTCAATGTTGTCTCGCTTCATTGCACGCTCCATAGCCACTAAGGCATCAGTGGCAACCTGAATAAATGCAGGACAAGATGTATTTGTGAAAATAATAAAGAAAGGAGCTAAGGGCGTTAGCATAGTTGCTGCAATAAAGTAGTGTCAGAACACAAAAAGTCATATAGCATGAAATGCTTCATTGTATATTTTATATGCATTAGGTGGTCGATGCTACTCAATAGCCGAGGTAATATGTCAAATCAATCGCCTTCTAAGAAAACTAGAGAGAATTAATGCCATGTACATACGGTTTAATTATGAGTGGCCGTGCTCATAAGCGGCTACAATCCCAGCATACTCAATGTGATTTTAACAGTGGACATGTAGATTGAATTTCTAAGCCAAATGACCCTATGTTACACGAAAGCAATGAGAAAGATCAAGTGAGCCTTTCCTAAATTACATCATACATATTTATCGGCAAATAAGAGGCTGAGGTCATGGGGCCTGGATCCGAATCCTATTTCGATAGCTTACACATAGGAGGTCGAAAATTCAAGCAATTATGAATAAAAGTCTTTGAGATGCATGGAAAAATAAAATCCTAGTCGATTTATTGACTAGTAACTGACTGATCAACTTATTCTTATATTGTTATAAATCACCATGAATAGTGCTCAGTCACAAAAGGTCAGGTTTACTACTTCTTGGTTAGCTTAGGGAAAAAAACTCGAGAAAGAATCGGAATATCACTTTTATATAAGCTGTGTCCACTCTATTTCGTTAAAGATTATGAAGGATTAGTAGTTAAATTTTCCCATAATTATATGAGTAGATACGACGTGGACACAGTTCATATATATGATTTACTGCTAGTCTCGAAAGCCTACTCCAAAAGAAAATATAATTAATGTCGTCGATTGCTATAGTATAAGTTTGCTTCACCGGCAATCCCACCACTGGATGTGATATGGGAAAATGAATGGCCTTCCTTAAAATTCACATCTGCCCTGTGACCCAAGGACACTCGTGGTAATGTAGCGTAGTGGTTAATATGTCGAGATTATACGCCGCACTTTCATGGTTAGAGTCCTGCTGGGGGCGTTGATAACACTTAGGCGAGGTCAAAACTGCAGTCAATTCTGGATGAGAATACCTTTTGGGAAGGCAAGGCTATGAAAAATTTAACTAACAATCTCGAAAACCTACCAAAAACGAAATCTCAATTTTATTTGTCAATGCATAAAGTAGTTGCTGCAGCAAAAGTAAGACCAAGCATTAAGCAATACCCATAATGGATAGATAATGTATAAACTTTTTATCCCACTTTTTGATAATCGACAAAGATTCACAATTAAAGCAATAGCCAAGCATTCTTGATAGTTCTCATCTGTTTGAAATTGTTGGTCACAGACCCTGCTCTAGCGTAAAAATATTTGAAAAATTATATTGCTTTCAGGATGTTATGTATTAGTATGCGAAAATCACACTATCAGTCCAGTAAACATCGCATTTTGTATAATAATAGCATTCAGCCTAGATCGCATGTGACTAAAGACTGATAGTTAAATTGTATAACAATGATGACATCATAAAGTCATCGAATTTCCCTTAGCCCTGCTTCAAAAAAGATACTATTATCCAGAGTAGGATTGCGGATTCGATTTCGCCTGGGTCTCATCAGCTCTTCTAACGGGAATCAAGTCCAGGTATTTCAGCGTCGAATTTCGGCATGTTACTTCTACGCCACATTGCCATGGGTAACAGGGCAGAAGTACATTTTAAGACTAGCAAACCATCTCTCATATTCTATTTTTGGTGGTATTATTGATAAAGTAGTTTTGTATTTGCTTATACAATTGACTATTACTTATATATATAAATAGTCACCTTATGCAACCTGATGTAAATAAAATAATTAAACAAATTCGAAACCTACCATAAAAGAGCACTCTTCTTTACCCGATAATCATTTACAATTCATTACACCAGATCAAATAATATGCTGGCAAAAATCTTGGTTAAAAATGACGAACGCTTACTTGGTGACCAAGGCCACGACTCCCACAGTGTATCATCACGACAACCTGATTTTTATGGTCAATGCCCATCTTGGTAGCCGCATGACGATCATATATCTCTTCAACAACCTGTACTTCAGCGTAATGATTGCCCGCGCCAAGGGTTCCTAACTGAGGTAAGCCTCGCTTCTTCGCGCGAGAAGAGACCTTAGAGGGATCGGCCTGAAGCATGCGGCCATATTCTTCACAATGTTCTTTATCGTCGGCCCAAACGTAGCCTGATCTCAATAAAAATTCAGGAATATAAATACATATGATGAAGCTTGCTCCTTTACTACACATTATACAAGAAAAATTAACCAATGGAATTAATGATTCATGAGGTGAGAATAAAAGATTAATATTAAATATTCTGAATTATCTTTTGTGTTCAAAGTCTTTCGCCTAGAATTAATTCTTATATATCAATAATGCGCATACACGGATGAAGAATTTGGCAACCATAGGACATAGAACACCAAAATGACAAAAGTAAATAATCGAAGGTATGAAGAAAAAGATTGTGTGGCCTTTTGTGTGGTCGAGGTCTCCTTCCGTTGTATATAATTTGTTTGACCTAGTTTTAGCAACTTAGAACACACCTAGTCCGGGTTCAATTGTATGCATGATAATTTCCAAAGTTCACGTAATACATTCTCAAACATTTCGCCGGCATCGTCAGTGAGTCTTATCATTCTTAGTACCATACAACAACTCGTTAAGAAGACAAGTGAAGCCGATTCTTTGATCAAATGTGTGTTAAACAGTTGTCGTATCTCTCCTGACCTGAGCTATTCACCTCTCCTATATCCTCGTATCACGCCTTCATTATCACAATTTTCCTTGCTTATTTAATTCTAGTGCGGTGTGCCCTTTTGAGCGGATTTCATGCGAACCTTCTACCCTCCACGCCGGCGTCTTCACTCCCTTTCATCCTTGTGTTGGGAATGTTGATGAGAGCTGCTATATTGTTACGTAGTCCTCCTTCCCTAGGTCATATCAGAGTTCCCTTCTTGTCCCGTACGATTCGTCTGCTATCTCCCTGGTTCTGGTATTTCACTCGACACCTGCGACCTCATCTGTGCTACTCGAGGCGTTATTACTCATCCCCTGTGTCTGGGTGACTAATTAGAGACTAAAGCCTTAGCCTAATTCGCATGGTCTATGACTTGCTATGCCGTAGTCTCTTGTGTGCCAAGCCACAAATGTTGTGGTACTACTTGCTTTGATTAGGTTCAATGTTGAACCACAATGTCTGTGGGTTGCACACAAAGGACTAGGGCATAGCAAATCATAGACTGATTATTAGGGATAAAAACAAGATAAACGCGGCGGAGACTGGAGCTAGTTAGCCGACAAGAGGCCTGTTTTACCATAGACGTGGTCCATGTAGCAAAGGCTAGACGATGAGAATTAGTCAGAAACTTTAGCCTCCAATTGGTCGCCCAGACGAGAGGATGGGTAATAACTTCTCGAGTAGCACAGATGTGGTGGCAGGGGTCAAGTGAAATAATTGAGCCAGGGAGATAGCAGACGGACCCTACAGGGCAAAAGGGAGACTCTGAGAAGACCTAGGAAAGGAGGACTGGGTAACAATATGACAGACTCTGATCAACATTCCCATCACAAGGGTGAAGGTGGATGAGAACGTCAGCGTGGAGTGTGGAGGGTTCTCACGAAAGCTACTCAAAAGGGCACACCAGATTACATTTAAATAAGCAATGAAAAAACTTTGATAGTAAAGATGTGATACGAGGATATAAAAGTGAATAGCCCAGGACAGAAGGAGAAATACCACAACTGTTTATCATACATTTGGTCAAAGGATCGGAGTCACTTGTCTCTTTTGACGAGTTATAATATGGTGCTAAGAATAACAAGACTCACTATGCCGACTACGATACCGGCAAAACGTCCAGGAATGTACCCCGCCCACACTACGACTTTGAAAACTATCATGCATACTATGGACTCCAGAGTAGATGTGTTCCTCTTAATCGTCCTACCAATATGATCAAGTTTCATAAATAATAGAAGTTGTTTGGCCTTGTTTTCGCAACTTGGCCATATTGGTAGGAAGACTTAGAGCAACGCACCTAGCCCGGAGTCCATTGTATCCATCATCATTTCCAGAGTAGGACCGTGAACGTGGTACATTCACAAACGTTTCGCCGGTATTGTTAGTGAGTCTCGCCATTTGTAAGACCATATTACAACTCGTCAAAGTGACGAGTGATGCCTATTCTTTGATTAAATATGTGCTAAATAGTTGTGGTATCTCCCCTTCTGC